TAACCTCAGTACGACGCTTCCTGGTTACATCGGGTAAGCTGGAGGAAAGCTCTGCGTCCTGGTTGGCCCGAGTCTGCCTCCGGTTCTCAAGCTGCTGTTGCTTCAAAAGAAATTAAGGATCTTGGTAAGCGAGAGGGTGTGAAAACCTTACTTTCCGGGTCACCCTTCGGATTCTTTGTGTTGGCAAAGGCTCTAAGTCGGAGGAAATTATAGTTACCTCTTCGCCAGCTGCTTGGCTGTTCCCAGTATCCTCCTGAAAGGGTCTAAATGTCAGTAAGGTAACGGTGAAGGAATTAAAGAAAATTAAAAAAAAAGATTACCTCTTCCTCATCTGAAGAAGAGTCGTCCAATCTCATCATATCAGAGGCGCTGGGGTTCTTCTTTTTAGAGGTACCCATCCTGGCGGCTTTCCTTTCGGTCTTCTTGGCCGCCCGGGCCAGTTTTGCAGCCTCATGGTCATACTTGACCTTCTAGAAATTGTCATTGGCCTATGGAAAAAGACAAGGAATCATAAGTACCATAAGGTAACATATTAAAGAGTATTTGTGAAGACTAGTAACTTACTGCAGGAGCCGGATTCTTCTTGCAGAAGGGAAGCAAATTGAACGTATTACTGGTTACAGTGCCCTCCTTCAATAGTGATTGGACTGTAGCGTCTGCTACATCATCTGGTAAGTCCTCAGGACTATGACGCATTGAGTCATCCTCTCTCGCCTGTGTAAGTACACATTAAGCCGGAGCGGCGGCTTAATGGTAGTATCTGCCAGGTGACCCAGACCCGGACCAAATCAATGCCAGTTAACCCGTTGCCCAAAAGGGCCTTGATCCTTCTGATGGTGGGGTTAAGAGGCAGGCGCTCAACAGCGGTTAACTTCTCCGCCAGAGGATGATTGGACTCAAGGCGCAGGACGCGAAAGCCGGGCAGAGGCTTCTCGTCAGCCAGAGAGGTGTCTTGGAAGTAGAACCACGTCTGGTTCCAGTCTTTGGGATGACTCGGCAGCTCAGCATAAGGAAAAAGGCAGTCTCTCCGCCGCTGGATTGAAATGCCACCAAGTTCAAGACTAGGTCCGCTGGTGCGCTCATTCTGCCGGTTCAAGTAAAAAAGCTCCCTGAACAGCAGCAGACTTGGTTCCTCTCCTAAATATACCTCGCATAAGACTTGGAAATTGCACAGATTAGACACGGAATTGGGTCCGATGTCTTGAGGCCTCAGGTCAAAGAAAGCCAGAACTTCTCTGAAGAATTTTGAGCCGGGAGGGGCAAATCCCCGGTTCATATGGTCTATGAAAACTACTACCTCTCCGTCTTTGGGTTGAGGTATCTCCTCAGACGGGTGGGGGGCACGGTAGGACATGACCTCCTTTTTTGGCAGATGGCCCGACGCTACAAACTCGGCAAGTTTGCTTTTGGTGGCCGTGGATGGAGCCCAGTTGCAAGTCACAGAGGCCTTAGCCGCCTTAGGAGCCATAACAGCAGTGGTCTACGACAAAGTAAAAGTGTCGGTTCAAATTTAACCCGGCGGGAAATATTCAAATTTATTTAAAATAGCGGCTTAAGCAAGGGGTCTAATGATATAAGGGTGACAGTGCAACAATATTTAAGCCGCTACAAGTATCAAGAGCGGTTCAAAATTCTTAAAGGTCATGAGAAGAAAGTAAGGTTTTCGGCTCAGTATCACTCATTTAAACCGGCTACATGGACAGTCGTGTTTATGGGTATTTGACAGAAGTAATTTTCCGGTTGATACAAACAGGTTTTAGCATCTACCACTGTTATCTTGGATCAAACAACTGTTCTGGAAAAAAAAATTCTAGACCTAAAGACTAGAGCGGATAAAGTTCAAGGGCTTGAATGGGGCCTCTATGTGACAGAAAGGGGTTTATTTGCATTTCAAAGTAGGTGCAAAACATCTACCGCATCAGTTTTTATCATCCTCAAGATCAAGAAGGGTGAGGATAAAGAAATCTATGGAAGAAAGCTACTGAACAGCGAAGAACTCGAGGAACTCGAAGAACTCGAAGGCCTTGATGTAGATCTAAGGAGCAGGAAAGGGGAGACTCACCGATGCAAGGTTGCCGCGGAAGGGTGTCACGTTCTTTCTGGTCCAACCAGGTTGATGCAGCGGCCTGAGTTGGTGAGGACAGGAAGATCTGCGGCGGCGGCGGCGGAGCTCGAGTGGCAGAGAGGAGGCAAGAGGAAGAAGACGACTAAAAGGAGGATAATGGGAGACCTAGGTCGCGCCTATTTATAAGGAGAGGATAACTGAGACGGCGCGGGAAACGAGGAAATAAGAATTATTATCCAGCGGCCCCGACGCCTCGATTTTCGGAACAGTCAATAAAGCCAGAGATCCGTTGAAAGATACGGTGACGTCACAGCAGCTTAAACCGGATCCAGAAGATGACGTCATGGCGGGTTAACAAAAACCCTCTATATAGTCAGAAGACTGAAGATTTAATTCTTTAAAAATATTTTTAGATTAACATGAACAGGTTCAAATCAATCTGGGGCTTAATGTTGGGGATATGACTATTTGTGTAAGCCGCCCAGGAGGGGCCGGGTTACGCAAAGAGTCTTCATCAAAGGAAGCCCAAGGCCAAGCATGAAGATGGCGGTTCAATAAAGAGCTTAAGGCCCGCAGGCGGCTTAAGCCCATTATAGTAAACCGCCATGATGGCATGACTTGTAATGTAAGGTATATTTAACTGGTTACCGAGCCGAACTCTGTTAATAAGCCGGCCGGGACTCTCTAAGCCGCAGGTATCAACCCGTGTATATAAGGGGACGACCTGCGGGCGATTTAGGACAAGAAACAACTCATCGAGAGCCAGGCATAGCGTATCTCGCTCCCTGGTCATCGAAACATCAATACCAACCCAACTAGACGTAGGCCTTACCTTCACCGTAAGGGGCCGAACTAGTATAAACTCTCTCGTGTCCCTTGTCCCGATTTAACCCCTTCAAGCTTCCTAGTTGAGATGGCTCCACAACTAAGTCCTTTCATGAGGACATCTGACGTGACTATTCCACGACAGATGCTGAGATTGAACTCAGAAGATCACGTGTTCACCTTATTCCCCTTGAGCTAAGGACACCCAGTCCTCGCCCAATCACTCTGGTAAGTCTTCAAGATAGCCTTCCAAACCTTCACAGACTCCGTTCACTGGCAATCCACAATGACTTTTGGATCCTCAGAACGTGACGCCTAACCGACTGGAGGATACACAGTCCTCAAGTGCAACAAGTCTTCAGGTCACGCGGACGGAAAGACTTCAGTGATGACTAACACTCTTTGGCTCTGGTTGTTTTGGGCTTTGTCCTCGCAAGGGTCTCTCTCTTAAAGTCTTCGGAGGTGGGTTGCTCTCAAACGACAGAAGCCGTGCACTAACTCTGAGCAGCCACCAATTTATGATGTAGGGGGTGGGCTATTTATAGCCAGGAGGCAACCCGACATGATATGTCTGAAATGACCCTGGGTCACTAAGGAACCGACACGTGTCCAACGATCAGATTTCAAACACACACGGCAGCTTGGCTTGGGCTACAAGCAAAGCTGACTCATCCAACTCTGGATAAGATTTGCTCTCATTGTCTTCGCTCGAAGACATAGGATTTGGGTTGAGCATCACGTTACTCTTCTGACTTTGTTCACTTGGACCCCACTTAACAGTTCAGTGGTTCCTTTGACTCAATAAAGAAGAAAAGAAAACTACGAAAGAAATTATGTCTTTGCACTCCACAGTCTTCACGTGAATGTCTTCATACGTCATTATCTTCAACGTGAATGTCTTCACGAACCACCATTATTTTCAATGTCTTCATACATTTTTAGGGGTCATCTCTGGTAGGTAAATCGAATCAAAGAGAGACTTCTACATATGTTGTCCTGCAATTCTCACAAACACATTAGTCCCTCAACCACGTTTGTCATCAATACTCCAAAACCAACTAGGAGTGACACTAGATGCACTTGCAGGATATGTTTTTTTTATAGGTTACGAAGATATGGATTGCCACGATGCAGGTTAACTAGCGAATTTGAAAGGTAAAGTGCTATGCATGGTAACCGAATAAGAGAGAATATACTAGTCCTGATCGGTTTAGTGTTAGAGCTTTTATATTGTACGCCAAGTCTTCCTGTATACGTCAAAGTCCAGCATGCCTTATATAAGGCCACGGCCTATTAGAAAAGCCCCAACAATCAATCTATCAATACAAACTCTATTTTTTTCACGTACACGGCCCAACAATCTATCAATACAAACTATACTTTTTCATGTACGTCTTTTTTCTCCATCGTTACTTCCTACCGAGCCCTATTAGAAAAGCCCCAACAATCAATCTATCAATACAAACTCTATTTTTTTCACGTACACGGCCCAACAATCTATCAACACAAACTATACTTTTTCATGTACGTCTTTTTTCTCCATCGTTACTTCCTACCGAGCCCTAGCAGCCCTAGGGTTCGTTTTGCCCTGACCGAAAAACAATCATCTCTCCTCCACGAAAGTGAGGAAATCTTTGTTACTTTGCTCGTAAAGCAATCGTTCCTAGTCACAAAAGCACGACAAATATCCTAGTGTTGCACGGTGATTTCGCGTGCCAACAAGAACAAGGCCACAGGTTACGTGAAACCTAGCCAAAGAATAATTTTGCAAAGTGAACTAAAATTTTAAAAACAAGCTTCTAATTTTTCAAAAGATGCTAAGAAAATATGTACACATAACACAAATGCAATAACAAAGACAAACGGCCAGGAGGCATAGATGAATCTAGCAATGCCATCAACGGGGACGGGTCATTATTATATGGACAAAGAACAAATATAACCAATCACAACCTATAACTGACCTTTTACTTTACAAAAGAACAAAATCGAGGCTTACACCCACTTGCGAATAGAACTCGCACCGGCTTCCCATCAACATTGGCCAGTGTAAGCAAAACAAAGTCACACAGCTCTTGAACTAACTGAGCATCTCAGCTGGCAGGCAAGTTCAACCTTTCATGCTTTGGTTTGCAGCTGAAGTAGGCGTCAGCAAATTTGTCGGAGTGGCAGGCATTGGGTCGCCGCTAAGGACAGGCCACTCGTTACCTGTTACGAATGCGGTAGCAAGATCTGTAGGAGCCACGGTGCTTGATTTGACAGTCGACAAATGCTTATCACCGTCCAGTTCCACATTAGTTCCGAAATCTTTGGTTCCTGAATCGGACAATTTATTTGCCAAATCTGTTTTCAAGAATAGACAGACAGCGGCGCAGTCATCAACTTTTGCTGTGGGAAACCGTGTTCTCCACGTACGGTGAGCCGTTTGGACAAGAAGCCTTGCTGCTGAGGCCTCTGAAGTGGATTCACTGACAATCTTAACGACGTCATCGTTTGAAAGTACATCCCACACCTACAGTGGTCAAAGAAATTAGATGATCACATGCCACAAAAACCATCTAACTCGCAGAAATGTTCCAAGTTAATATGTGGTCAGTTGCTCACCCCATCAGTCGCCAACACAACGAACTCATCCTTTTCTGTGATGTGATGGTACGAAACATCAGGAACAGAAATTACACCATAACTCTTTAGACAGAAGTCTCCAAACGCTCTTGCCATGGCCAACCCTGGGGAGTTGTACTTCGGAAGCCAAACACGAGTAACATCTGGCTCGTTTGGGAGAGAAAATACTCTGCCCTTTCGTTCCCTGATCCGTGCCGCTTCACCTGCAAAACATGCATCTTGCTTCATTTACATGGGCATCTACTCATAACAAATACAGTTCTTCCCAGAGAAAATGTAAACCACAAAAGCATTGTCGTCAGAAGATATTAATAAGCTTGTGGCGTCCCTAAAGGGAGTGGACATGAGATCTGAAGTTAAGATTACAAAGTGAGCTATTGGAATATCAAAATCCGCTCCCTGCATAAAATGCAATGTAAAAAAGATTGTCGTTTCAGGCCAGATATGTCAGGTCCAAAAAGTTAACATGTGGGCCCATTCTCAAGTTTGTACTGTCAATGGTAAGTTTTTTCAGTGTGTGGTGTCCATGATAGGTTATGTTTACACTTTTTATTAGTACCAATTCGAAGTTTTGAGATCAAGGTATCTTTAAATAACTGACTCTGAAGAAAGTCAGATCTAAAACTGAACAGCACATGCACCATGTTGTTACATCCCTATCAGATCAGAAAAAAAGAAAATCAGATTGAGCTTTTTACCCACAAAAGGCAGGGCAGATTGTAAAAAGTTCAATACAATATTTTTACTTAGATACTCCCTCTTTGTATTGTGGATGTTGAAAAAAAAATTATAAACTTGGTCAAACACAGGATGGGGGTATTGATGAAGATGTGGACCATCGAATCAAAGCCGGATGGATGAAGTGGCGCCAAGCTTCTGGCATTCTCTGTGACAAGAGAGTGCCACAAAAGCTAAAAGGCAAGTTCTACAGGACGGCGGTCCGACCCGCAATGTTGTATGGCGCTGAGTGTTGGCCGACTAAAAGGCGACATGTGCAACAGTTAGGTGTGGCGGAGATGCGTATGTTGAGATGGATGTGTGGCCACACGAGGAAGGATCGAGTCCGGAATGATGATATACGAGATAGAGTTGGGGTAGCACCAATTGAAGAGAAGCTTGTCCAACATCGTCTGAGATGGTTTGGGCATATTCAGCACAGGCCTCCAGAAGCTCCGGTGCATAGCGGACGGCTAAAGCGTGCGGAGAATGTCAAGAGAGGGCGGGGTACACCGAATTTGACATGGGAGGAGTCCGTTAAGAGAGACCTGAAGGATTGGAGTATCACCAAAGAGCTAGCTATGGGCAGGGGTGCGTGGAAGTTTGCTATCCATGTGCCAGAGCCATGAGTTGGTTGCGAGATCTTATGGGTTTCACCTCTAGCCTACCCCAACTTGTTTGAGACTAAAGTCTTTGTTGTTGTTGTTGTTGTTGGTCAAACATAGAAATGTTTTGAATTATAAAAATCCTAATATGGACTACATTTTGAAACGGAGGGAGTATAATAATTCTCGTATCTTACCATAACTTCAGAATTATATTATAATCACTTTTCAAGAAAAAAGAAAATATTATTGTAATAGATATTTGATAAAACTACCACATGTCATGCAAATAAACCAACTTCATTTACTTGTTAAAATAATTTTCTAAGGCACAATACATCCTACAGTGTCACGACCTGAGACCTTCTCAGTTATGTTTCCAAATTTTGTGCACATACCATACAAGGAGTTCTTCAGTTAGGGTGTTTTTAGTTGGAGGCAGCAAGTAGAATCATGCATCCGATTTTAAGTAACCCACAAGTGAAATACTCCCAGCATCCTAACTGCTCCAACAAGCAAATTAGAAACCATTCACCTAACTAAGAAACCAAAAAGTAATCTATAAAAATATCACCATAGTTGAAGAGCTTTGGTAAATTTAAGAACAAATACAACAGGACACTGGCAAAAAATTACACGTTTTGCAATGCATATATCATATCATGTAGTTTCATTATCACGTACTGAAGCATGATGTATTTACGAAATTGACTATACGATACACTGATTCAGCAAAAATAATGAAAAAAGTGTTACTGCTACTAGAACTCTTTGTAACACAGAAAGTAAAAGGTAGCTAAGAGTCACACAAGGAAAAGGAGGAAAAAATTGTGTTGTAGACCTTTAAAAGAACAAACGGGAATCATTAAAATATAACGTACTTGGGATGCTTGGTTTGAGATCGACTGTCAGTTGAAGAGCAAAAAGGTGATTATCCTCATCTTTAGTGGCCAATATAGCTCTAGAGTCCCCCAGGTTGCCGATTATAAGATCCTGCCCCTGTAGAAATAGCAAGAAGAACATGTTAAAATAAAAAATATCAAGCGAAGCTTCACAACAAAGTAAAGTACAAAGTAAGAAATATCAAGTGAAGCTCCACAATAAAGTAAAGTAGAATCATTGTTGCTACGAAAAATACCTGCTTGATCAATGTGACTGCTGTGGTTCCACTGAACAGACAATCAATATTTTTATGTGACTTCAAATCCCTGTCCATTACATAAAATGCCCTCAAGAATGAAGTTCTCAATGCTGTGAAGATTTCTGGGTACCCTCCATTCTCTACAGCTCCAAGGGTAGCATCAGTATCTTCAACCACAGTTTGCACAGCATCTCCTTCAGTTGTCCCATTTGTGACAGTGTTATTTGACAACTCTTTGTATTCATCCCTGGCTATATTTGCACTCAACTTCACAGGGAGAAGATCTCTGACCATCTTGGAAACCAAATGGCCTTGTGGTCCATGGCCATCAAAAACACCACAAAAGATGGTACCATCTTTCGAACCAAAATTCTGCAAGCGGAATGCAAACACGTTAAAATCAACTATATAATGCCCAAAAGGACATCACTGAACAAGGAGAAAGAAGTGCACAATCCATACAGTTTCAGCCTACAAGCAGGTCAGAACCACGAAGCCTACGCGACTTATAGCTAAAGGAAAACTCTTGGTCATCAGATAACACGCGGTTCCAAGAACGCCAAAGTGCATCTGACGGTGCATGCCATGTATAAATGTGTTGTCAACTGTAGTCCACTAAACAGGGGAAATTATATTTGCTTATATCATATGGCTGAGCTCGTAGTTTCGGAGAGTCACATTTGATGGATTTTGATTCACATACTAGTTAAAGATCCTTAAGCTTGATGTGGCCCAGGAGTCCCGGATCCTAAGCCATGCCGAGCAAGATCTTCCGGCAAGGCTCAAGAAAAGGGTGGTGAGCTTGGCAGTCCTTGAGCATTCAAGAAAGAAGCAATGTGCTCGAATTGCAAATCTGAGAGAGGGCAATGCCAATATCAAATACTTCCATAGGCGTATCAATACGAGAAGGAGAAAGAACCACATTCATCGGGTGAGTATAACAATGGTTGGGTCACGGAGCATGAGAAAAAAGAGGAATCATCCACGATCACTTCTCCCACATCATCGGAAAGGCGAGTGAGAGAAAGGACTTCAACTGGGAACAATTTCATTTTGAGGATTGTGATCTTAGTGCTATTGATAACCCCTTCACCACGGAGGAAGTGTGTCATGTCATTAGCCAAATGTCAAATGACAAGGCTCCCGGGCCGGACGGTTTTACCAGACTGTTCTTCAAGAGATGTTGGGACACAATTAAAGTTGATGTCATGCGCGTGATCCACCTTTTTGGTAACCTCCATGTTGCTAACCTCCAATGGCTTAACTCTGCAAATGTTGTGCTCTTGCCTAAGAAAGATGGAGCAGGGATTGGTGACTATAGACCAATTAGTCTAATTCATGCCATCACCAAGATGCTCGCGATTCGCCTTGGGCCTCACATGAATAGCCTTACCTCCAAGGCCCAAAGTGCTTTCATAAAAAAGAGAAGCATCCATGACAATTTTATGTATGCGTGTACAAAACTCCTGCCATTCTTTTCAAGCTTGACATCCACAAAGCCTTTGACTCGGTGCGTTGGGATTACATTCATGATCCTCTTCAACGGAGAGGCTTTCCAAGTAAATTTCGAGAATGAATTGCTGCCTTGCTATGTACCTCAACTCCTCGGATTCTTCTCAATGGAGCCCCCCCCCCCCCACCACCACCACACACACACACACACATCAAGCATGGCCGTAGCCTTCGCCAAGGAGACTCCCTCTCACCTCTCCTTTTCGTCATTGTCGTCGATACACTCCAACAAGTCCTACACTTGGCCACTAGGCATGTCTTGCTTCACAAATTTAGAGGCCGTCGAGCTATTTGCAGAACTTCCATATATGTCGATGATGTGATGGTCTTCATGGCCCCCATTAAACAAGATATTGACAACCTCACACGCATCTTGGGCTGTTTTGCCGAGGTCACCGGTTTGGAGGTAACTTCCAGAAAAGCTCCTATGTTCCCATTGAGAGCGCAACCCGTAATCTCGAGGACATCCTTCATAGTTTGTCGGCGTCTCACGCCTCATTCCTCATCCGCTACCTGGGCCTCCTCCTCTCCATTTGGAAGCTCAAGAGAGCCGATTTCCAATTCCTAGAGCACAAGGTGGCGGCGACGCTTGTCCCATGGGATTGGCAAAATGTCACTGCTACGGGCGTACCACTCTTGTTAAGGCGGTGCTCACCTTGCAAGTCATCTACCATACTACTCCCCTCATCATTCCGCAACAGGTCATAAAGAGCGTCAACAAAATTGAAAGGGCTTTCCGTTGGGCGGGAACAAACAAGATCACCGGTGCCAAGTGCAAAGTTAATTGGGCCACAATGTACAGACCAAAAGAGCTAGGGGGCTTTGGCGTGCTTGACCTTGAAAAGTTAGCACGTGCCTTACGTTTGCGCTGGCTTTGGTATGAGTAGAAGGATCCCGGCAAGCTTTGGGTGGGTATGGGGAACTCGTGTACAATGTGGACGTTGACTTCTTCTATGCTTCTACCATCACAACCATTGGTAAAGGTGGCATTGCCCCCTTTTGGGACTCCCCTTGGCTAAATGGCAAGAAACCAAAGGACATTGCACCCCTCATTTACATGCATCCTCGAGGAAAAATTGAAAGGATAGAGAGGCCTTGGGGGATGATGCATGGATTCACAAGATCAAATTCGATGAGATCCTTTCCATGGAGCACCTACGGCAATTTGTTACGCTTTGGCGACTCCAAAGCCACACACAACTCCATGAGTGGGCATTACTCTTCGGCTTCAGCATATAAGGCACAATTCATTGGATCAACAGGCTCCACCTCGAGGTGCTTCATTTGGGGCGTTTGGGCCTCGCCAAAGGTGAACTTTTTTGCTTGGCTTGCAATCCAAGACAAAATTTCGACGGATGATAGGCTTGCAATCTAAGATAGAATTTCGACGGCCGATAGGCTTGCTCGGCGGGGTTGGCAAAATTGTGACCCTTGCCCGCTTTACCGACTTGCATGAGGGCAAGGCACATCTATTCTTCAAATGTCGCTTCACCGTTAGGCCTTGGAACTTAGTCAAGGATTGGCTTGGCCTTCATGCTATTGACAGGGCGGCTTGGGCAATGAAGTACTCTTTGGCATTGATGGTGCAAGATGTCGGGCAACATCATTCACAATAGGAAGGCTATGGCATCTCTCACCGTACTTGCTAGTTGGACTATTTAAAATGAGAAACGCACATGTCTTCTGACACAAGTCAACACCACCACCGGTCTTTTTTGGCACCATTAAGAGGGGAGCAAAACTTTGGGTTGTGGCGGGCGCAAAAAAATTGGGCAACATCATCTCAGGAGAGTAATGACCCATTGTACTATTGGTGTGGTGTAACAAACTCTATTCTCCTTTCTTAATAAATGGATAAGGCAAAGCTTATGCCTCCGTTTTGAAAAGAAAGAAAAAAGATTCTACACTAGAGCACATGTCAGTTTCCAAAACAACATGCATTAGGTAATAGAGGGAGTAGTTAAATCAATTCGACTATGTTCAGACCTAATTATTAACAAATCGGTATTACAACAAATATTTTGGTTTAAGGACAGGACATGCAAGATGCAATCTGAAGCGCTAGCTTGTTAACAACGTTTCTCCTCCTGTTCTTTTCTCAAATGGTCCTCTAGTATTCATATCGTTAAACTTCATAAAATTTGATCATGGAAGGACTAAAAGTTTCTAGATTGGGCAAATGAAAATAGTAATTATTTCCTTCAAATTGCAGCTCTAATATACAATATAAAACCTTAAATGATGGTGCATTAAGTAAAACATGTAAATTGTAAATGATGGTGTATAATATGAACATTTAAGAGACCACAGAAAAATTGATAATAACATTCATAGAGGAGAAAACTGTGTAGACCACAGGCTACACAAGGTACTATAAAAAAAACATGAGATTGTATTGTTCAAACTTATTGAACTCTGGAGATAAACAATTTAATAAAATCTCATGGACATAATCAGTGGCGGAGGACGGACCAAAATCGAGGTAGGGCGGACTCTAGAGCGTAAAAGAATATCATGCAAAACCTTCATGGCCACTTGCCGCTGGCACAACCTCTGCACCGCTCTGCACCCTGCCTACGCTGTTCCGCAGCTGCATACTTGCTTCCCCGCGACATGTGGCCTGGAACAGGCTGGCACCCACGCTGGCGCCGCCGGCCGCCTACCTGCTGGTGCCGCCGCATATTGCTAGGCGTTCTTGGCTCCCCCCTTGTTCGTCCGCCGTCACTGCTGAGGTTGTGGCCTGGTCCAGCTGAGCTCCTCATTCACGGGCTCATGGCCCACCAGGTCTCCCCTTTCCTCCCCCCAACCACAGCGAGTACATGATACAGCGGCGTACGTGTATATTCTTCTGTTCGAAAAATCAAGGTAGGGCGGCCACCCGGCCTTGCCCAACCGAGTCCTCCGCCGATGGATATAATGAAATATAGTTAATAAAACACAAAGAAATGGCAAGTCTCATGTATTCAACTCTAGGAGTTCATGGGAAGAGAAGATAAGATCATCCTTAAAAGGAAATATTAAGATAACGATAAGAATCATGTGCCTGCTTACAGGTTTCTCCATTTGGGAGAACAATAATTGAGCCCAATTAAACTACCAGCTAGAACACTCTGCCGGCGATTCAGTCGGCCATATCCAATGGCAATCCATGTGAAACCACGTAAACAAGACAAATGAAAATGGTATTCTATTCCAGAAGTTGTTGAATCAAACAGGCATTCTACAGCAAGACGCCACATGTGCGTCTTACGTGAAAGTAAAAAAATCTTTGTCTGGTCCAGCTCAAGCATACCTAAGAAGACATGTATTAAAATTTTGCCCCAATCAGACAGTCATGTTTCTTCATGCAAGTATCAGGATTGGCTCATGACGAACAAAACCATGAAAACATCCTTTTCATCGTATCCAAATACTTGTGGAGCATATGCAGTAGGAGTCACACATCATCGAAAGGTACCCATGGAATTAACAGAAGATAAAAATGGGAAAAAATACAGAATTAAGAACTCAAATAGTATACCTCCACGACAACCATGGCGTCCTGGTTGACCCCCTTCTTGCCCTGCATCGTGTAAAGTGAGGCGCTAGCGCAGGCGCCGTTGCCGGCGATGCGTCCGGGCGCGCCCCTAATAAGCTCGGGACGCCTTTCCTCGGCGGAGGCGCCGCTTGGCGAGGAACCCCCGTTCCGCTTCCGCCGTAGCGGTCGAGCGGCCCACTTGAACTGCGCAGGCCCCGCGCTTGCGGGGGTGACGCCGAGCCCCCGGAGCAGGCAAACGAGAAAATCGACGCAGCACCCGTCGCCGCCGCCACCACCGCCATACAAAGCGGCCTCCGTGGCCGCAGGCTTCGCGGCGGCGACGCGCGCGGCGACGGCGACCGCTAGCATCCGCTGCTGCTGCGCCTGCGGGTGCTGCAGCTGCTGCTGGCCGGCACCGCAGCCGGACCGCCGGCGGCTGAGCACGGGCCGCCTCCCAGCCGCGACCGCCACCATGCCCTCTCTTCGAATGATTCCGCTTCCGCCCCGCTTCCCTCGTCTCTTGCTATCTGCCCAGGTCAGGATCTTGGCGCAAGAAGCGAATCTCTTGGCCGGAGTCGGATCTTGCAAGGAGAGGAAGGTGGTTTGGTAGATGGATGGACCTCGGTGTGGCGAAGAGTAGACGCAAGAACTGGTCGCTGCAAGGGCGCGAAGGAGGTGGGCGTGGCGGGCACTAAGGAGGGCGCTGGCTGGGGCGTGGAACACGCACGGTGAATACGAGCAAAGATATTAGTTTTACTGGTTCAATCCACGATATTATTCTATGGCGACGGCGAAAGGGGAGCTGGAGAGGACAAGAAGCCCAACAGGAACAGGTGCCACCTCCCCTCCTCTCCTGTGGCCTGCGCGGCGCCTCCGCAGGTGTGGACCGGAGAGGAGAGGCGGAGGCAAGAATCTCCGTGGCGGAAAGGGAGAGGAGGGGGCAAGTGGGCGGGGAGGAAGAGGGGAGGGGGGGGCCTCTTCGTCGGCTGGTTGCGTGGTTGTCCTGAGACGGCGACGGACCGAGAGAAACACGTTGCAAGGGGCTCGGTCGGCAACGGGAGTGAATGGCCATGGGTATCCCGCTGAAATTTGTTTACCTTTTCCGTTTGTCTGTGAGCACCCTTCCACAAAACACCATTATCTCATCTTTTAATTATTTTGAGAATAAATACATTGTAGTATTACTCGGAAAACACTACAACCCCTTTTATTTTATAGCGAACACAGCCAAATTCGTCGTGAGGTGGCTTACAACATGTGGATAGCGATTTACACATGTAATATTTTGATCTCTCATATTTTATTTAGCCTTCAGTTCTACCAAAGTTGGTCATGAAGCGGCTTACAACACGTTGATAATGATGTACACGAGTAATATTCTGACCTCTCATATTCTCTTTTATTTCGTATAGTGGAAAAACAAAAGCACAATCTGATTGTCTTCAAGTTTCGAACCGAATTCACCGCTTTTAGATGGTCGATCCCGGTTAGAACAGGCAGAGTAGTCCATTGAAGTGCAACCCCCTCCATAATCTCAGATAATTCAACCTCTAAAGAATCGTAACAAGACATGGCAAAAGTTAAAGATTGCCTTTTCAGCCTGCTCACACAAAACCATACTTGTTCCTATTGTACAATCCTCCACGGAAAAGGAGTCGTCTAACCTTGAGCTTCACATAGCCAGGTATAGATGTATTCCATGACATAAAGTACGGGGAGTATCATCCAGTGCATGTGACTCATATGCTAGAAAGTTCCCAGAAAGTAACACCCCTTTATCTTTGTGACGTCTTGGTTCCGGTACTAGGTAGTCACCAACAACAAGTTGAGGTAGCTCTGAACAAAGAGTCGAGAGACATTAATAATTGAAGCGGGCTATGAATGGACCAATTCATTTCTCATATACTAGATAGGTGGCTCTGAAGAAAGCGTCGAGAGACATTAATAGTTCAAGCGGGCTATGAGTGGACCAATTCATATCTCACATACCAGATACATTCTAGTAGCATGAATAACATAATCCGACGTGTTTCCGAAAGCCACATGTAATATGAAGTACCCACTCTGGTCACGTGTTCTGGAGCTTGGATATACTGAAAACGGCTTTCGCCCCGTTTATATATAAAGCAAAGCCACAACATCCAACGTAAGTTCACACCGCGCACACATGCAAAGAAAGTAGACAAACATAGTGTGAAAGGGTTCTGCTGAGAGCACAGATCAACAAGCCCTTAAAGGGGGAAAATGAGGCAGTGCAAGGTACAACAGGCTAATCCGGCTCAGGAGGTGGTGGAGGAAGCAGTGGCGCCAAGCGAAGAGCCATCGCGCGAAGATCTACAACAATGTCCCGATCCTAGGGGCGGTTAAGCGGCCGTCAAAGCTGCAAATAGCCACACATTTTGAAAATCGCGTCGGTGGCACGTCAAAGAGGAACACGTCGGATCACAAGTTTATTGCGGACGGTCCAAATCCCAAGCGAGGATCTCCATACCCAGCCACCTAATGTGGCGGGCGCGCGAAGGGGGGGGGGCTGGATTTCCGCAAAGAGGTCAGGGAAATTGGTGTTGCACCATCGGCCACCAATCGTTTCGCGGAAGCAACTCCAAAGGAATTGAGCGGGCACGCATGTAAAGAAAATGTGTTTCGAGTCTTCCTTCACCCCACACAGGGGGCAAATCCCGTCTCCTGGGCCATCAGGAGCAGCCGCGGTGGCCTGGTAGAGGGATTTGGTGGAGAACCTGCCCGAGGACTCCAGGCGCCAGGAGACCCGGTCGTCAGGTTGATCCGCGTCCGAAGGATGAAGCGCGATGCACTCAAGGAGGTCTTGCCATGTGGCAAGTTCCGCGGGGCCAAATGGCCGGCAGAAGCAAGGCGCCCTAAATCAATAAGGGTCGCCTTGACGGAGATCCTAGGTTCTACTGTAATGGCGAACAGGGGCCATAGGTTTCACTAGAGGCTTCTCTCTTGAAGATAGCATACGGTGGGTGAACAAATTACTGTTGAGCAATTGGTAGAGAAGCGCAAAGTTATGACGATATCTAAGGCAATGATCATGAATATAGGTATCACGTCCGTGATAAGTAGACCGACTCTTGCATGCATCTACTATTATTACTCCACACATCAACCGCTATCCAACATGCATCTAGAGTATTAAGTTCATAAGAACGGAGTAACACCTTAAGTAAGATGACATGATGTAGAGGGATGAACTCAAGCAATATGATGAAAACTCCATCTTTTTATCCATGATGGCAACAATACAATACGTGCCTCGCTACCCCTACAATGTCACTAGGTGAGGACACCGTAAGATTGAACCCAAAACTAAGCACCTCTCCCATTGCAAGAAAAATCAATCTAGTTAGCCAAACCAAACTGATAGTTCGAAGACAAATACAAATATATCTTAATCATGCATAAAAGAGTTCAGAGAAGACTCAAATAATATTCATAGATAATGTGATCATAAATCCATAATTCATCGGATCTCAACAAACACACCACAAAAAAAGTATTACATCGAATAGATCTCCAAGAACATCAAGGAGAACATTGTATTGAAGATCAAAGAGAGAGAAGGAGCCATCTAGCTACTACCTCTGTACATGTAGGTCTGTGGTAAACTACTCACGCATCATCGGAAAGGCAATAGGGTTGATGTAGAAGCCCTCCGTGATCGAATCCCCCTCCGGCAGATTGCCGAAAAAGGCCCCAAGATGGGATCTCACAGGAACAGAGGGTTGCGACGGCGGAAAAGTATTTTGGTGGATGCCTTTGGTGATTTGCGAATATTTGGGAATTTACAGAGCAAGAATTAGGATTAGGAGACCTCCGAGGGGCCTACAAGCCCTCAGGGCGCGTCCCCCCCCCCTGGGGCGCGCCTAGCAGGCTTTTGGCCACCTCGGGCACCTCCTAGCCCCCTCTCCAAGTCCTATGGGTGTCTTCTGGTCCAAGAAAAATCATCGTGAATGTTTTATTCCGTTTGGACTCCGTTTGATATTCCTTTTCTGTAAAACTCAAAAACAAGGAAAAAAACAGAAACTGGCACTGGGCTCTGGGTTAATAAGTTAGTCCCAAAAATAATATAAAATAACATATTAATGCATATAAAACATCCAAAGCAGATAATATAATCGCATGGAACAATCAAAAATTATAGATATGTTGGAGAAGTATCAAGCATCCCCAAGTTTAATTCCTGCTCGTCCTCGAGTAGGTAAATGATAAACACAGAATTTTGATGTGGAATGCTACCTAACATATTTATCAGTGTAATCTTCTTTATTGTGGCAAGAATATTTAGATACATAAGGTTCAAAACAAAATTTTAATAGACATAAAAACAATAATACTTCAAGCATACTAATAAAGTAATCATGTCTTCTCAAAATATCATGGCCAAAGAAAGTTATCCCTACAAAATCAGATAGTCTGGTTATGCTCCATCTTCATCACACAAAGTATTTCATCATGCACAACCCCGATGACAAGCCAAGCAATTATTTCATACTTTTGGTGTTCTCAACCTTTTTCAACTTTCACGCAATACATGAGCGTGTGCGATGGATATATCACTATGAGTGGAATAGAATTTGGTGGTTGTGGAGAAGACAAAAAGAAGGAGAAAGTCTCGCATCAACTAGGCAAATTAATGGGCTATAGAGATGCCCATCAATTGATATCGATGCAAGTGAGTAGGGATTGCCATGCAACGGATGCCCTGGAGCTATAAGTGTATGAAAGCTCAAAAAGAAACTAAGTGGGTGTGTATCCAACATGCTTGCTTATGAAGACCTAAGGCATTTTGAGGAAGCCCGTCATTGGAATATACAAGCCAAGTTCTATAATGAAAAATTCTCACTAGTATATGAAAATGACGAAATAGGAGACTCTCTATCATGAAGACCGTGGTGCTACTTTGAAGCACAAGTGTGGAAAAAGGATAGTAACATTGTCCCTTCTCTCTTTTCTCTCATTTTTTTGTTTGGGCTTCTTTGGCCTCTTTTTTTTTGTAAAGTCTGGAGACTGATCTCAACTAGGAGGGAATCATAACTTCCACCATCCTTTACTCACATGGGACAATGCTTTAATAATGATGATCATCACACTTTTATTTACTTACAACTCAAAAATTACAACTTGATACTAGAACAAGATATGACTCTATATGAATGCCTCCGGCGATGTACCGGGATGTGCTATGATTAAGAGTGACATGTATAAAGAAATATGAACGGTGTCCTTGCCACAAATACTATGCCAACTACATGATCATGCAAAGCAATATGACAATAATGGTGCGTGTGATAATAGACGGAACGGTGGAAGTTGCATGGTTATATATCCCGGAATGGCTATGGAAATGTCATAGTAGGTAGGTATGGTGGCTGTTTTGAGGAAATGTATATGGTGGGTTTAATGCACCAGTGAAAGTTGCGCGGTACTAGAGAAGCTAGCAATGGTGGAAGGGT